AGATTTAAAAATTATATTGGGTCAATTAAAGAATACTCCTGTCAAATACCATTTTTACAATAAAATAAACAATAATAACACGAAATCTATAGATTGTATGGCATGCAGTTGTTGCCTGTTTTGTTTTTATATTGTTAAAGAAGTCACAGAAAATCATCAACTAGAAGGAAATGTACTAGAAATTCAATTCAATATTTATTAGTGGAATTCATAGATTTAAAAATTATATTGGGTCAATTAAAGAATACTCCTGTCAAATACCATTTTTACAATAAAATAAACAATAATAACACGAAATCTATAGATTTGGTATTTCTTAAAAAAACATTAAAGTCTGCAGATGAGAATTATCTGAAAAATGAAAGGAAGGAGAGGAAGACCATGTGATCAAGAGAAGTGTGGGAATTTAAGAGGCCAGATAAGTCCTTATGGAACAGTCTGTCCTTCCCACATAGTTGGGCAAATATGCCACCGACCTACATGATGAAAATAAAACCTGAGCCCAGGTAGCTTTGCATAATGCAGTCTGACCAGAGGACGGGACAAGGCTGACGGGATTTCAGAGAAGAAGCAGGTAGAAATGTTGCTTCTGCAGAAAACAAACGCTCCTATAGAACATGGTTAGAAACAGACAGCTGTTCAGGAGAAGCTTTGAACTTTTGACCTTTTTGAGAACAGAGTTGATTTCACCTGCTGCCTCTCAGCACACACTCCTGCCCCGGTCCAGAGAGTTCCCCGGTCCCCAACCGCCTCCTCCGTTCTCTTACCTGTACTTCATGCCTGTCTGAAAAGACACGCACTCCTCCAGAGCTAAGCCGTTCATYTTCAGGAAGTCTTCCATGTTCTTAATTTGAGCGGCGATCCTCTGCTCCCGCAGCCTCTGCAGCTCAACCTGGTCGGTGGGCCTGGCCGGGGGCTGGTTCAGCCCCTGGTCCGAATGGTAGCGGTTGATCCCGCTCCGGATGCTCTCGCTGTACGACATGGACAGCATCTTGCCACTGCCACTGCTGCTGCTCTTCCGAACACCGCTGCCTGGCGCTGGCGGTTTAGGGATCTGAGGATTTTCAGGAGGACAATAACTGGACCTGCGCTTGACCGGGGGCCCCCGGGGGCCACCAGTATACCCTCCTCCCGAAAACATGCTCGCCCTCCCCCTCGTCCCTTCCCGTCTCTCTTCTTCTTCCTGATGCTGRGCTTGACCCGTGCAATGAAAAATAAAGTGGTGACTTGGACTAAGCGAGGAGCCGTCAGGGCACAGTCACCTCCTTAAATAGCACCTGCTCCCATCAAAAAAAAAAAAAAAAAAAAAAAACCCACCTCTTTAAGTGTTCTTTAAATGCAGACGCAGAAATGAAAGTGAAACGTTTACCCAGTGTTCAGGCTTTTATTTCTTTTATCTCCAGTGGGAACTTGAAATATTATATTAAAGCACATTAGAAGAATTAACACTAATGGAGCATATTAGGGGCATTAAGAAGCACATTAGCTATTGGTAAAGTATTTCATACATTATGAAAAATACTCGAACGTAAACTAACAACACTGCAATTTTACTACTTCTGAAATACTTGCTAATCTCTTTGGAACATGCACTGCATTAGACTAATAAGATGCCAAATAAATCACCAAGGTGGTTCTCTACCTCATTTCTCTGCAGCAGTCTGACTGGACTAAGTAACAACTAAAGTCTGAATATCTCTGATCAGCAGTTTAGAAAAAGTCAATAGACTGCATCATTCAATAAATAATTAAGCTTTGCTACGTTCCCAACTTCGTAGCCTTACTGACAATAATTAGCTTTGAGCGGATTTTTTAACAACATTTGAGCCAAACGAACAAGAGAAAAACACATCGGAAAACATTCGAGCCACGGCTGGTGTTTCTGCTCCCTGTCTGACAACAAATCAATTGAATCCTCTGATTCTATCAAACACCTTCTGGTTTAATGCCAAGCAGTATTTTTAACAAACTTCATGAGGGGAGGGGAAAGACGAATAAACTTTGTGGCCAAAACTGCATGAAATAGCAGGAAAACTGCAACTTTCAGGAGCAAAATGTCTGTTTATTACAATAAAACATGAAACAGCTGATCCCATTCAATATTAATTGGGGTGTTTAAATAATGATGTTGGGAGAAACTGATACAGTAGGATATTTGAGAGTTGATAGTCTTAATAACAATGAAATTTAAAGAAGAGAAATCACTTCAGAGAAAACACTAAAAACAGAAAAAACATCTAAGCAAATATTAAAAGATTATATTATTTGAACTTCTCAATGCACCGCCCGTGGTTCAGTAAATGCCCAGTTTTTGGTTACTTCCTGCCTCTTTATACCCTGACCCTCGCTGGGGACTTTGAATTTGCAAACAATTSGATTGGTTGTCTTCTTTCGATTGACACCTCTTTTGACCAACTTGGGTTCATAGCCTCTCCTGAGCACAAAATGTGGGGCAAGCCCCTCATGTCCCACACGTACGTGGTGACTAGAATTGACCAATCAGCTCTGAGCTTCATTCTGACGCCACAATTGCGTAGCCAATCGAGTTAGCTTTTATTCGATATGCAGCTTTAGAAAAGAAAATCATAATAATGGTTATAGTGGATTTTAACTTCTGTAACTAAATAATTTTGACTGCTGAAGTTAAAAAAATCAGATTGACAGCTGTATATAGAGACTGCACAAAGGGTTCACTTCATTTAGATTAAGCCCACAGGGTAACAGGTTAAAGAGCCTGCATTTAATAAAAACTATGATAAACTACAACACCAGTACACTACAAATGACTCATGTGCAGTCCATGGTAGAAATTATTTTTAAAGGCAAAGACAAATGGCTTAAAAAAATTAAACAGGAAAAAATCTCGTAATGCTAATTTTATTCTAAAAATACTCAAGGTACCATCTGAGCTTGTTTACATGAAAACACACACACACAMAAAAAAAAACCCCACAACAAAATACTGTAGATCAGAATTGTGTAATCCCTGGCATTTCTGCCTCGTGTGCCCACGCTACAGTTCTGACTGGAACATTTTGACAAGCTGTCAGAACGGGCCGACCAAAGTTCGTTCTAAAAAGGAACTGGAGATGTCACCGCTGAAAACCTAATCTATACTACCACACCTCGACTCCATCTCCTACGCGCTGACATAAAGCTCTGGGACTCTGCAGTGTTCATTAAAATTGCAAGATGTGAAAGCAGCAGGGTTCAAGGATAATAAAAAAATAAGAAAAYGGTGGGGGATGAACAGGTTAACACATTGAGACCTGACATGAAACATATGTAGTGCAATTTTCATGCTTAGAGGGTGCCTCGGGCCTGAATGGGTTAACGTGTAGCCCGTTCAGCTGGATCCAGCTGCAGCTGGAGATACGAACTGGATGCTAAATTTAGCTCGAGTTGGGGATTGCCTGGAGAAAAACGTCACAGTAGCCCAGACTGAAATACTGGCTGTAGTTACTGAGATTGGGTGAATAATAACAGCTGTCTGGAAGCAGATTTATCGTTTTCATCATCAAAAGGAAGGTTTACGAGTGTTTATATAAACAATAAAGAAAAAGATAATTTATAGATTCCTACACTCTGTGAGAGAGGAGAAAACAAAGGTACTTGTTCAAACCCAAAGCCAGTCGTGTTTGATTCTCTGCAGCAACAGGAAAATGACTTATTACCAGAAGAATTCCTCCAAACTGTTGCCTTATTTTAAATAGCTTTAGTCATTTTCGCACCCAGCTTTCAATAACAGACTGTGCTCGGAAGAAACTGATAAAGATTAATTTCACAGCATTTTCAACAGTGTAGGAGTGCAAAGAATGATGCACTCAGAGACTGCATTATGTCAATAAATGCAGTGAGAGGCATTTGGATGCTGTTCCTCTGTTTCGAGCGGAGCATTTGCACCACCCAGTGGGGAAAAACCTTCAGCTCATCTCCACCAGGAAACTGGGACTAGATTAAATGATTTGACGGTAAACTGAGGTGTGCAGCATCAATGATCTGTAGTTTTTGACAACCAGTCAATAAAAAGCTGCATCTGTGTTTGTTTTCATTTTTCAAATATTCAGTTATTTGACCTTTTAAAAGGATAGAAAGGGTCTTTTGAAGTGGGGATCTGTGAAAATATTGTTAAGGTTATTTTAAACCAAATTATTTATTTCAGAATTATTGAGCCTCACCGATTTTTGTTACTCACCTTTTTCTTTTTTGACTAATCAGTCCGTTTGAATCTAATAAACAGGTTGTTTGTACGGCTGCACAAAGTATAGAAATTAAACTCCAAGCTCTAAAGCTCTGAAAAAATAAAATAAAAATTGGGGGGCACTGGTTAGAAATATTTGCCAGAGCATAATCTAGAACAGAATGATGCAGAAACAGTCAAAGGGGGTCAAACATGGTTGAAACAAAACAGACAGGGTGATAAACAATGCTAACATGTTAAAACAAGCCATGTTTTTGGCATTTGGATTTTATTTTTACCTCCTACTGGCCACAAGATACTTAATGTTGCACTCATAAAACATAACCCAGAGCACAAAACATCAACCTAAGCAAGTAGATCAGAAACAGTTCTAATGTGTGTATTATTTGGCTGCATAATGCTAAAATTAAGCTTTTTACAATTTGTAGAAAAAAGATGCGCTTCACTTCATTCCCCCGCCCCCTTCCTTATCTTCCCTGCTTTGCTGCTCGGAGCCTTCTCTGCATTTTCATCTGAAACCAGAAATTATGGATATTTTTATTTTATGGATTTTTTTAGCTGGTCTCTTAATAAATTTTCTGGAACAAAGTTTTTTCTTCCATGTCAATGGTGGGACCTCTGTTCTGCCCTGTTCTGGATATATATTTGGATTCCGATCACTGGATTCTACAGATTGGCTTGGTGGTCTGTTCTACAAAACAGACTGTGGCTGTTCATTTCCTGGCTGACTGACCAATATGAAAGATTGCCGTTCTATCAGCACTCAGACTTTTACCTTGTGCGAGCTGGACTCGGTCTGCAAGCGGTTCTGCTGAGGGTCGCGGGCCCGCTGTGGTTCCTGGACTTTGCTGACCAGATGGAACTGATGTTGGAGAAAGCTGAGAGCTCGGCTCGGCGGAATTTGTCCACAATATTTGTCTGATTGGTTTCGCCATCTTGAGAGGTACCAGCGGACATTAAGGCTGATGGATAATTGAAAGGCGCTATATGAATAAAACTTTACTCACTCGCTCGC